AAAAAAAAAAAAAAAAAAAAAAAAAAAAAAAAAAAAAAAAAAAAAAAAAAAAAAGATGCAAAAACGTCCTATTGTAAGCTTACATTTCGTATTTTCGAAACGCTTCCCTTCGTTTTGCTAAATATACGTCGCTGTCTTTCGGTAGATCGCTAAATGAATCGCCTGCAATACACAAGTAAAATTCACGTAAAATTCACGCACGGAGTCGTGTGGTCAGGAATTCGAAAGGTTTAAGGACCATTGTCGTGATGCCCCACATTGGTTGGGGAGGAGACCAAAAAAACTCTTTATAAGGATGTGGAAACCTTCCCCTAGCAGACACGTTTTAAAGCCTTGAGGGGAAGCCCGAAAGGGAAAACCCAAAGAGGACAATATTTGCTAGCGGTGAGTTTGGGCATGACTTTAAGTAAATTTGTAAGAAAGGTGATAAACTTGGGATTTAAGAAAAATATAGCATGCTGAAAAGGTTTTACGTGGAGGCAATGCTGGTTTCATCACAACATCCTTGTGCACTTTTAGAGGAGACTTTTGAGGAGATTTTTCAGGCAGCTGAGAACCCTGCCCAAGAAACAATAAAATTTCGTTACAAAATAAACCCAAAAGGCTCAAATTCATCAGTTTACATATGAGATTTCATCACAAACTATTCATTGAAGAACTTAAGAACACAGGCCAAGATCATCAGTAGAATCATTTACCAAGGAGACATGGAAATTGGGCAGTTCTTAGCCGATTCAATCAGTTCATAAGACAGAAGAAACTCATTTAGATACCTTTTTCTTTTCCTTTCTTTTCAATATCTTCAAATGACACTTTTTGATGTAGTGCATTAAATGATATCGAGAATGTCTAGAACACAACTGATCTCTGATGGAAGGATTTTCAGTTAACCAATCAGATATTTCCTTTGACTTGACAACCTCATCTTGTTGTAGAGATTCTAACCAAGAATAAACTGGTATCCACTGGTCGGTCCGTTGAAATCGAGCATGTGGAAGGTCGCCCTGTTCACCCTGATCAGCCCGATCAGCTCGATCAACCTGATCGCCCTGAATCTCTTCCTTTCCCTGTCATGGAACATAATTTGATTGGAAGGAGACATTTCAAACCATAGTTTTCATAACAAAAAAACAAGAAAAAAAATGCACCACAACAGATTGAATGGCTAAATGGGAGGACAAGAGGGGGAAGGCACTACATTTTAGTTAATCATTCACCGAATTTCCAACCGAAACATAACTCGAACGGGTTAAGTCAATATACTCTCAACCAAGAGCTCAAAGGTTTGAATTATCTACCCATATGTTAGTTAACTCAAAAAATCAATAACCTGAATCAGGAAGATGCAAAGATCGTCAAGCCTCAATGGAATGAGCCTAGCCAAGTATGGGATAGTCGTTCCACTAGACTTCCCCGCCATGTTGATGGGCGCCCCCACCACAGCTTGGGGTGGGGTAGCATAAGTCCTTTCCTATGTGAAGAGGTGAGCGGTTCTCAAGGAACGAAGCAGCTTGACTTATAGTTTACGAGGGTTTTTTTCTGAAATATTTGGAGTTAACATGATTGAGGATTATTTATCCATAACAGGAGAAATCCTAAGACCCCTTTGTGACAAATATCAAGCCAACGAAGCCTGAATAGCAATTTGAACACTGAAGAGTATTATGTAAACACACAGGTTGGTTTGCATGGAAAACTACCTCTGAAACAAAAACCATAACAATCCAGGCTCTTAAAAGCTGAAATAGAAGCTACATGAATCAAACTGAATGGCCTGGTATTGGAGTGTCATAAGCATTTGCCAATCTCCCTATAACGCTCTAAAAGCGCTTTATGAAGATAAAAGATCCCAACTTCTGAACACGACTCTCTACGATGGTATGATATTGTCCACTTTGAGCATAAGCTCTCATGGTTTTGCTTTGGGCTTCCCCAAAATGCCTCGTACCAATGGAGATAGTATTCCTTGATTATAAACCCATGATCATTCCTAAATTAGCCGATGTGGGATTTTCATCCAACGCCTCCCCTCGCCCCTTAATCGAGGTTCGACTCCTTTTCTTTTGGAGTCTTAGTCATTTTTTACCATGCCTTCGAGGAGTTTGACTCCTTTTTCTTTTGGAGTCCTTTGTTCGACATTTGAGGATTCTATTGACATGGCTAAGTTTAGGGCATGACTCTGATACTATGTTAGATAAACAAGACTCTACAATGGTATGGTATTGTCCCCTTTGAGCATAAGCTCTCATGAATTTGATTTGTGCTTTTCAAAAAGGCCTCATATGAATAGAGATAGTATTCCTTAGATATAAACTCATGATCATTCCCTAAATTAGTCGTCATGCACGAGAGAAAGTATTGTGAATGATCGTAACCTGAGCGGAAAGTCTCATTAAATTCTGGATAGAAATGAGCCTCTGGCAAAGGTCGGAGCGGGGCATTGATTTGAGGTTTCCAGGTAAAGAGGCATGGTTGGAGTCAATCCAAGCTTCAACCTCTTCCATGGACCCAGCTTTGGCCTCGGGGAATGAGGAAAGCCACGCTCGCGCCATGACTTCCCATTCTTGAGAGTGATCGCTCTGGTCGCTAGGGTTCAGATCAGATGGTTTAGGCTCTGCTCCTTCTTGGATTTGCTCCGCAGGATTCGACATTTTTCTCGCCCTTCTCTCAGATTAAACTGCTTCGATTGCGATTTCCTGCATCGTCTTCGCAAATCCAATTAACGAAAATTTTTGTAGCATCACAAATCTAAGAAGTTGAAGAACAGCACTTCGCTCATCAATTAATAAAAAAACTTTATAATATTTTTATTTTAAAAAAATATTTAACCATCAAAATTAAAAAATAGCATTAATATTTTTTTTATTTTTATAAAAATAAATAAATATATATATATATATATATATATATATATATATATATATATATCCGCATTATTTTTGAAAGTTTATGAATAATTTTACTGATAAAAAGTGTTTTTGAAGTTTTATAAAAAATTAAAGAGTATTAATAAAACTTTTAAAAATTTAAAAGTAAATATCCACCTTTAAAATTAATTTTGAATTTTTTAAAAGTTTGGTATTTAATATTTTTAATTTTTTAATTAAAGGGTATTATTTAAATTTTGTAAAGTTTAAATATAATTATTTAGTTATATTTTTCAATTTTTAATTTCATCTCTATAATTAAATTAAATTAAATTACTAAATTAGCAATTCTCTTTGGTATGACAGGCTTTGGTTGGCACTTAACTATTTTACTCTATTTGGAATAAAACATTAGACTTAACAAATAAAGAAAATGAGTAATTATGAGTAATTATTATTATCGACGCGACCAGATTACTTATTTGTCGCTGACAGGAGAAAAGACTACCACAGCCACAAACCAACACGGGTTCTTTGAAGATATTTTGTTCTCACTCGCATGCTTCTTATAATTACTAGGAGGTCACTACCGTCCAAGCTATGCACATTTTTATTTTAGAGTTCTTTCCTGTTATCGAGCCACGTTGGTATAGATAGTAATTTTCATTCTTTTAAATCTTTCTTTAGGATGTAGTGTTGTCAGGATCGCACAACAACGCACACACTCGATCTAGATGAACACAAAGAACAGGATAGAGAATGAACACAAAGAACATTATAGAGAAAATGCAAGGAGAATATTTAGAATATTGGCTAAAGGTTTTGTATTGGAGAGAATACAGAGAGTACATTTTCAAAGATATATATATAGTTTAGTATATAGTTTTACCAGATATAACCATCTATTATCATATTACTATTTATGACAAAAACCGTTCAGCTATCAATAAGCAGGTACTTGATCGTAAATTTATGAGATTTTAAGGTAATTTTTAATGCAACTCCAAAAAAAAATATAAAAAAAAAGATAGGATAATCACAATTAGCAAAATTTGGAGGCATCAAAGATTGGATAAATGAAGCTTTGATTAAGCCTTGATTCAAGTGGTTGATGGCTTAGAAGGCACATTAAGGTGGCTTAGAAGGCACATTAAGGTGTCTTAGAAGGCACATTAAGATGTTCATAGCAGTACAAGGCATCATAATTCCCTCAGAATGAAGAAACAAGAGCTACCATTTCATAGCAAGCTAATTTACATTCTTAGAACGTCGGGATCGACATCGTTTCTTACCGTACACGTGACAGATAAGCTGCTGAATATGATTTTTCTATCAACTAGAGAGTACAATGCTATAAAATAAAGCAACCACAACTGCCAACCAACAGAGGAAATAGTATGATCAACCTAAAGCTTCAATCTCCACAATATCAGTACTTTAAAGCGCTAAATTCAGTAAACCAGATGGAAACTCTTATCCTTGCAACTAACTAATGCAAAACTATAGTAGATATTGTCGGCTTTGTACCGTAGGTACTTTGTAACAGGTTAATTAAGCCCACCGCTAATAGATATAGTCCGCTTTGGCCCGTTTTGTAACAGGTTAATTAAGCCCACCGCTAATAGAGCTTCCCAGTTGTAAAATGAGTCCTGCTAAGGAGAGGTTTCCAAACCCTTATATATAAGGAATGTTTTGTTCCCCTCTCCCAATCGATGTGAGATCTCACAATAATATAGGATGCAAGGGTGTGAAAACCTCTCCCTAGTAGACGCATTTTGGGGAAGCTTGGAAAGAAAAGCCTAAAGAGGGCAATATCAACTAGCGGTGGACTTGGGTTGTTACAAATGGTATCAAAACCAGACACTGAGCAGTGTGCCAGCGAAGACGCTGGTCCCCAAGGGGGTGGATTGTGAGATCTCACATCGGTGGGAGAGAAGAACAAAACATTACTTATAAGGGTGTGAAAACCTCTTCCTAGTAAACGTGTTTTAAAACCGCAAGGGTGTGGAAACCTCTCCCTAGTAGACGCATTTTAAAATCTTGAAGGGAAGCTTGGAAAGGAAAGCCTAAAGAGAACAATATCAACTAGCGATGGGCTTGGGTTGTTACAAACGGTATCAGAACCAGACACTGAGCAGTGTGCCAACAAGAACGCTGGTCCCCAAAGGGGTGGATTGTGAGATCTCACATCGGTTGGAGAGGGGAACGGAACATTACTTATAAAGGTGTGGAAACCTCTCCCTAGTAGACGCGTTTTAAAACCTAAAGAGAAAGCCTAAAAAGGACAACATCTACTAGCGGTGGACTTAGACGGTTACATACTTCCATGTGTTTAAGAACACACTAGCACGAATTAGAACAAATCACTTATAGATCAAGCACTTGTGTGTGTGTGTGCGCGCGCGTGCTGGGGGGGCGGGATGCTACAACCCGCCCTCGCACTTGATTACTAAAAGCATCATTTAAGATCAGCAAAGAGTAAAAGCACTGTCGGACAAACCTCAGAGTTACTCGTAGAAGCACTAAAAATTCAACCAGGCAGATCATAGCTATCATTCAAATGCACTGCTGCAATACTCTACGAGGGATGTTAAAATTTTTCAAGCATATCATTCAAATGATAGTTTGATTTTGATCTTAAAGAACATGGTATGGCTACAATACAGACATACATAAGTTTTAGCCTATAAAACATGTACACAAGTCCTTCTGACCCTATTGTATTAACACCAAGAACAACACAAAATATCAGGAAACCACTTCAATGGGTCATACCTGACAGCAGATTCGCCTCAGTATCTCTTCTATGAACTACTTTTTCTTCGCAAGTGATTTAGAACACAAGCTGATCCTTCAAACAAATCCAATAAATAGTTCTCCAAGTCGTCCGAACTGTACTTTATATACCTCCCGGCATGTCTCGTGTTCTCTATCTGACTTTCATGCCTTCCCACGAAGGCACGATATGCAGGTAACGCCTTTGCCGATATCGAAATTCGAAGCTCTTCTCGTAGTTGAGGATCTGCTACCTTCCAACCTGTCTGAACTCTATAGAGTTCCTCAAAGCCAGCATTGAAATTTTTGAATTTTTCCTTTAAAGCAGCTAGTTTCAGTGCACTATTAGAGCTCCCAACTGTCCCTTCTTCCTTCAAGAAAGATAACAATCTGCCCCACGAAGCCCTTAGATAGCTCGTTGCATATACCCGAACCTGGCCTCGACGCTTACGGACCCAACGGTCACCCAAGAGCTTCCCAAGCTCAGAATCTTTCACTTTCTGCACTATATATTGTATATTGTTCATCAGAAATATATATTGCAACGAATCGTCCGCATAAAGTTTGGATTTCCTCTCAAGATTGCTCTCCAATGACGCTATCAATGAAAACAATCGACGAGCTAATGGAGACATGGTTTCTAGCTCCAAATTCTCACCACCATCATCCCCTAGACGACGCGAATCCTCGTCGTCATTGCCTTCTAAAAGTTCATCCAGAGTGTTGCTATAAACAACAAGCAATCTTAAGTAATTCATGACGTAACGAGCGAGCGGATGAATCTCAGCATTTAGCATCGTTTTCTTAGAAGTCTCACTACGAACAGCATTCTCAAATTCACAAAATGTACCTTTAGCAGCCTCTCCCAGCCTAGAAAGCACTCCCTTCGCCTCGTCGATCACGAATTCATCAGGAACCATAGCCTGCAAGTCTGGTAGAACGTATGCCAGAGCTTCATACATATCGAGAATTCGAAATAGCTTCTCGACTGATCTTTCCCCTATAGCAATGGCCTCTGCAAAATTGAGTAATTTCCTGACGCACCCTTTGGCAATCTCATTGAAACAAGCTTCCTCAGAGTCATCGGAACCGCTAAAGATATAATCACAGAGTCGTTTTTCGCCGGTCAAAAGAACTTGAACACTGACCTTAACAGCTTGGATCCATTTCTTCATCTTCTCATCCAAAGATTTCCAGTCAATTTTCTGGATATCCTCAATTCCAAGCTTCTCAACTCCAAGAACAACCAAGCACTCATCTAAAGCATCGCGGCGGACGCTAATATACACATTCAGACACTCTCTTTCGTATCCAGATCGAATCATTCGGTCCACGATCTCCTTCAGATCATCGACGGCGTCAAGATTGATCAAATCGACGCGCAAATCGTCGCCCAAACTGACACCGCGCTCATGAAAAATCCCCGAACCACGGTCAACATCGGCAAAGGATTCGAACTCATCGGAATTTTCGCTTTCGTGTGAAGCAAAAGAGAGGGAAACCCTACGAATTGAACCGTGGAGATGCTCCGCATCGAGCGGAACAGTGCTCCGAATCAACATATGACGAAACTCCTCCTCAAGCCGCGACATAGCGATCTGGATCGCGTTCTCAGCACGCTCGACGATCTTAGCCGAATCAGACTGAATTGACAACTCGTCCATCCAGTGAAGAATATCATCCACCGCCGATAAGTACTCCGCTGCCTCATCCGGCGCATCCTCCCAAAACAGGGAGTTCCGAGAAGCTCCCTGACCGGAATCCCAACGAAGAATCACTTTCTCAGCAGCTTCAAATCGATCCCCCTCCCTCTTCGAATCTCCACTGTTGACCAAACTGGTGATATTAGATAGACGATTATCGAAGCTAGAGAAGATCAAAAGCATGTCGTCTCGAACCTCCTTAGGAGTGTTGAGACTCTTGAGTATCTGCTGAGCCGTAGCCATAACTCTATCTTCACCACCGCCGCCATCGCCGCCAATACTGGTGGTCGTCGTCGCCATTCTTCACAAATTCCGTCAATCAACCTCTCTACCCCAAGCAAGATTCAAACCCTCAAAAAACAAACACGAGAAAAAAAAAAAAAAAAAAGGGTTTCAAAGAAAAATTGAAATGAACAACGGAACGTCAAGAATTTATGAGAGAATTGTTAACAAAATTTCATTGGAAATGTGAAACACAAAATCCTTTTTTCTCCTTATTTATTTATTTTGTTGGAACAAATAGAAAATGTCTGTGTGTGTGGGCCCCACTCCGACTTAAATTCTCCAAACAGTAGCCGGCTTGTTTGCCTGACGACTAAAATAACAACTGTTAAAAGATATTTTAATTTTTTAATTAATTAAATTCGGTGAATTATCCCAATATTTTTTTAAATATATTTTTCTAATTTTTTATTGATTATAAATTACAATTTGAGCATGATTGGCGTGGACCGATGACTTTCAACATTGGAATTTTTTAGGCCGGTTCGTTCGCATACGTGCGGTTTGGTCCGGTCGATTATTGTCCAAACCGACCGGTGGGGTCGGGTCTGACACTTTTCATGGTCTAATGTCCCTCTTGCTCCCCAATTTTGACCCATCTTATAAATATATATTATAATAATTAAGCAAAATTAATAAATTTTAATTTTATATTTTATCTTTAAAATAAATTGCTAATATTTTATTTCAAAAAAATGTATGTCAATAATATATCTTCGAGGGTTAATTATGTAAATTCTATAGATTCTTTGTTGGTCTCGAGCCTCGGACCTACACCGAGGTATTGACGGTGATTCTAAAATATTGCAGAAACAAAGTGAACCCGAACCCTTTCATTCTGAATTCGGAATGAATCAAATCTCCCCAATAAGATTCGAACCGAACCCCTACGACCAATCGAACCCTTTCATTCCAAATTCGGAATGAATCAAATCTCCCCAAGTAGGATTCGAACCGAACCCCTACGACCAATCGGATAATAGCCGACCGCTCTACCACTGAGCTACTGAGGAACAACGGTAAATTAGGTTTGAGAGAATTCAATTCCCGTTCTCAACCCATGACCAATATGAGCTCGAGATTTCCTTCGTAACTCCCGAAACTTCTTCGTAGTGGCTAGTTGAAAAAAATGATTTTCACACCCTTATCAGAAATGTTTCGTTTCTGTCTCCAAATCATGTGGGATTTGCTTTCCGATGTATAATTCGGATACTATTTATACCGATCCAAGCCCACTATTAGCACATATTTTCCTATTTGTGCTTTTTTTTGTTTTTGAAGGTTATAAAACGTGTTTGTTTGTTAGAGAGAGATTTTCAAGTCGTTTGTTTGGTTCCCCTTTTGAACTGACGTGGAATATTATATAAATTATTATTACTTTTTATTTAGTTAAAATAATATTGAAAATGACTTAATTTTAGAAAATAAAATAATGGGATAAAAGAAATAAAGAGGTGGCACGTGCCTACTTTCCAAAGCTAGACTCAATATTATAATAATAATAATAATAATAATAATAATATGTTTTTTATTTTAACGAAAACCCTAAATCGACCAATCACAACTGCGGATTTAAAATTAATTTTGTGAATAATTAATAAATATTATTTTATTGAAAATTGTCAGTCAACCAAGAATATGACAAATATTATTAAAAATATGTGTTTGAATGGTTCATTTTATTTTATTTTTGTCTTTTTATTTATTTATTTATTTTTTTTGTAAAGGAAACCAAATTGAATGGTCAATTTTCAGTTGTGGAATTTTGTGGCTTCATTAAGTATTTATAAAATTGGGATAATTTTTAAAATACAAATAATTAGAATTTGTAATGTTCTAAAAAAAATAAAATAGAATAATTCTTCTTTGAAAATATTATTTTTTACAATTTTGTAAAAATTTTATTATTAGATTTGACAAATATATATATATATATATATATATATATATATATATATATATAAACTTTATTGACTAAAAAAATCATTACCGAAGTTTATAATAACAACTTTTAAGATTATTATGAAGATTAAGAATATTCGATATTTGCAACTGATATTAGTGATGCGTTGTGACTTATGAATGTCTAATATATGAGTTTTATGAGATTTTAGTTATTAATGTAACATGTACCGTAGATAAGTATAATTTTTTTAATAAATAAATAAAGAGCAACTCTAAACCCAACTCGACCTTCTATTTTATGGTTGGGTTAGATTGAGTTGCTCGAATCACCAATTTAACCAATCTAAAATTTCACGTGGGTTCAAAAGATTTATCTAACCCAACTCATATACTCCGGAAACTATCGTTATAATAACAAAAAAAAAAATTATTTTTTACAAATCCAACATTTTGAGTTGGTTCGGTTGATATTTTTATGGTTGGGTCAACTCGACTTACCTAAAAATAGAGTTACAACTCAATGCTAACCCTAATTTTAAGATTAGTACAAAGATTGGGTCGGAAAATTTATTTGAATTGTTTGAGTCGCCTGTTAAACCATCCTTATAATACCTACAAAGATTGGGTCGGAAAATTTATTTGAATTGTTTGAGTCACCTGTTAAACCATCCTTATAATACCAAAAATTGAACTTTTTAAAAATAAATAAATTTTGAGTCCATTCTTTTATGGTTGGGTTCACACGACCAACCTAAAAATAGGGTTACAACTCAATCCTATGGTAGTTTTAAGATTAGTACGAAGATTGAGTTGTGAACCCAACCCAGCCCAACTTGACTAGGTTGGGGTGTGAACTCTAATTAGGTTGTTCGAGTCACCAACTCAACCAATCTAAAATTTCAGCTGGTTCATAAGATTTCTCTCTAACCCAACTGATATGAACCACGAGACATCAATCATACAATATACTTCAATGAAGATCTGAAGAAAATATTGTTGAAATTATCAAAAGATGTTTCAATTCATGAGAGATTGAAGAAGAATGAAGTTTGATTGTTACAAATTTTGGGTGGGTTACAGTGTAGAGTAATTTAGAGTTATTGTATTTCAAGACATTTTATTTTACAGCTAATTATGGTCATTAAGTATGAATGTCACAACTTTTGGAATGCATTTAATAGTTTCATTTTGAGGCTATATAAACCCATGTATGTTTGTATTTGTAAGTAGACTTGGAAAATATATTAAAAGAAGCATTTGTGCTTTTCTTTAGCCAATGACTAAGTTTCTTTGCAATTCTATGTAGTTTAGATTGCATGTAGAATCATTCAAGCTCGACATGATCAATCTTGCTTGTGGAGTGATTCGAATCTCAAACAAGTGTTCTTGCATTGAGATATTTGATCAACAAGAATCATTCAAGCTAGACATGATCGATCTTGCTTGTGGAGTGGTTCGAATCTCAAACAATGTTCTTGCCTTGAGATATCCGATCAACAACGTAATCTGAATCTTATTCTCCTTGTATTGATTCCTTATCTTATCATTCAACTCAAGTAGACGTGAAATCATCACTAAAATACGAACGAACAAAAGAAAAAAAAAAAAAGTGGACTTGGTAAAGAACTTGAAGTACATGTCAAGTCTATTTAATGTGGTGTAGATTTGGAAATCATGTGTGAGCCTAAAAACTCCAAATTGTTGACCAAGAAACAGCCAAACAAACCAACATCCACCCACGCAGGGTGCCGCGGTTTGACAGTGTGGCGCGCGCCGTGTGCCATTCGCGTTTGGTTTTGGCATTCCATCGGCGCACCCTCCTTACTAATAATAATACTTAATGCCCCATCTGCCGTCTCATTCACGACGCTATTGCTCTCTTACTCCGCGCTTTGTGCCTTTGATTTATACCATTTTTCAAACTATAAACTTGTTTTCATTATCATCTTAATTCTTTTCAAATTTTTTAGCTACAAAATCCGTTCGTATTTGAAATTTTATCGACTCAATTAAAGTTGCGTAACAATCAAAGTTCACCACTAGCGGATATTGTCTAGTTTGACCTGTTACGTATCGTCGTTAGCCTCACAATTTTAAACACGTCTGGTAGGGAGAGGTTTTCATACTTTTATAAGGAATGTTTCGTTCCCCTCTCCGATGATGTGGGATCTCACAATCCAATCCCCTTGGGTGCCCAGTGTCACGGTCATGCTCGTCCAAGGTTTGTTGCCCATGACAAGCCAAACCCTTTATGTCTTTTCATATTCTAGTATTTTACTTTTGTATTTCTAGGAAGTGTGACGTTTCAGAAATATCATGTCTAGGCCTGCCAGACATTAAATGCCTCAGAATGTACTAGAGGGGGATACGACTAGTTGTCAACTTCTCCCTACCCAAGGTTATATACTGTGAGTCGTTGGAGGCTCGAGCATACGTCGCTTGGCCGTAGGCGACGCAAGAACGAATTGACTTAGCTCACTTGTCGTTGGAAAGTGAGTGTCGCACAATCGCAAGTCCGCTGCCATTAAAAGTGCGATTGTGACACCCAACGTCTTCACTAGTACACCGTTCAGTGTCTGACTCTTATACCATTTTTAATAGCATTATCCACTTTGACTAGTTACGTATCGTCGTCAGCCTCACGCTTTTAAAATATGTCTGCTAGAGAGAGGTTTCCACACCCTTATAAAGAATGTTTTGTTCTTCTCTCTAACTGATGTGGGATTTCATAATCCACCCTCCTTGGAGGCTCAATATCACAACCTAACTATGAAGAGAGTAGATTATGACTCTCACGTTGGGACAAGAGAAGCAGCAACCCTTAAGTGGCGTCATTCGGTCACGTGAGGGCCTAGACAAGTGTCATGATGCAACCAATGAGAACAGTAAATGTAGGACCGTGACACTCAGCGTCCTCACTGACACACTACTTGATGTTTAACTCTGATATCATTTGTAACGACTCAAGTTCACCGCTAATAGATATTGTGAGATCCCACATCGGTTACAGAGGAGAACAAAGCATTCCTTATAAGAGTGTGAAAACCTCTCTCTAACGAACACGTTTTAAAATCGTGAGATAGACGATGATACGTAATGAGCCAAATTAGACAATATCTGCTAACGGTAGGCTTGAAACAACACTGGTTGGAGTAGGGTTAGATTCTCTCGGTAGAATGGACAATTTTACTAGATGACTTTCTATTTCTATCTTTCTTCGTGGACATCTCTAATAAAAGAGAATAAAATATAATGATATAAACAACACGTAATCTCGTTTTGATTTTTTTTTTTAATGTGACATTTTTTTAATTGATTTTGTAGTTTTTTTTTAAAAAATTATTATTAAAAACTCAAAAGCATAATTTTAGTTTATTATTATTAATACTTTTATTTTAAGTATGTCGTCAGGTTCGAAACCGCGGCTCGTTTATTTTATTAATTTATTTATTATTTAATTGGTTTTTTATCTACACAAAATGTAAAGGTTGTCTGGTCTTCAAATTATTAATTTAATTGTTGGTTTATACGTCAAAATTCTCAATATTTTAATCCTATTATTATTTATATTATTTATTTTAAAAATATTCTATTCAAAAAATAATATTGGAAAGGTGGGGTTGCATTTACAATAATGCCCCTAGAAAAAAGGTCATAGGTTGTCCTCTTTAAAACACCGGTGAGAGAGATGTTTACATGCCTTTATAAGAAATATTTCGTCTCCTCTCCAATCCGATATAAGATCTCACAATCTACCCTTGGGAGAGGTTTCTACGCGCCTTATAAAGAAATGTTTCGTTCCCCGATGTGAGATCTCACAATCCACCCCCGGGCCTAGCGTCCTCGTTAACACACAACTCAGTGTCTGATTCTGATACCATTTGTAACAGCTCAAACCCACTGCTAACATATATTGTTTTTTTTTTTTTTTGTGCTTCCTCTCACGGTTTTAAAACGTGTCTGCTAGATAGAGGTTTTCACACTCTTGTAAATAATGATTCGTTCTCCTCTTTAACCGAGGTAGAATCTCACATTATCGGTTCGACGATGCAAGGTGCTCTTAGGCAAAGAAGGAGTACCTCCTTACAAATGGGGTCGTGTGACCTAGCCCGATAATAGTGCAACTTTTCATTCTTTTAGAGAACTTCCCGCAATCAAGGAGATGAAAAACGAAAGCAATTGAATGCTAATTTTAAATTAGTAATTAAGTTATTTATATTTCCAAATATTGTTTATGGGTATTTAAAAGACATATATTTTAATATTGGTGATACAACATACGTCACATCACTAAATATGTTTATTAGTTTATCGATGATAAATATATGTGATTGATAGGCACAAAAATGTCCTAATTTAAAACTCTCAAATTTTATTTTTTACTAGTCAATTTCGGTCAAATCAAATAATCCAAAATTAAGTGTCGACCCGAATCCATGATTATTGGGCTTGTCCAAACTCGGCCCATTTTTTGATGGGCCGAAGGTGAGGGTATAGTTGGAATTTGCAGATACTTGCTCTCTTAAATCGTTTTACAATTAATTTATATATATATATACACACACGTGTGTGTATTTATGTATAGATATATGTGTATGTATATATATGTATGTGTATATATGTATATATTATATTATATATATGTGTGTGTGTATGTATATATATATGTGTGTGTGTGTGTGTATATGTATATATTATATATATGTGTATGTATATTTATATATATATATGTGTGTGTGTGTATATAGCTCAAATTATGTGCACTCTATCTGTTTCGGGTTGGGGTCTCCTTCTTCTTCGCCTTCTTCGCACTCTGGTTCATATTGTTTATAGAGAATTCTTTGATCAATGATAGAACAAGATCCATTTTGTATCATATATAAGAGATTCTTAGGTTTGGGTTGATCATTATCAATTTTTCTGTTCATGAGGATCACAACAGAGCGTCTTATATTTCTAATAGGTCATGAAATAAATCAGAATCATTATATATATATATATGTATGTATAAGAAAAGATCGTTTAAAATATTATTATTGTCATCATTTAAAAGTCGTTTATATATATACACACATAAATAAATGAACCGATAGTACATTTGAATAAAAGCATTACTTTGATTTTAGATACTAAGCGAGTTTAACATGTAGAATTTGGGGCAAATTAGTATACATTTAAGTTGAAGATTTATATAATATTTTATATTTTAATAATTTTCAAGTTTGGAATATTAAAATATAGTGATTTGAATGAGAAGAGTAATTTTTTTGTGATTGTAAAATATTTTAATCTTTTCCACGTGGGATATTCATGTTAAAAAGAGGAGGAAGTAAAAAATAAAATAAAATAAAAAGAATTTTAAAAGGGTAAAAGTGATGTCAAACAACAAGAGAAATCTTTGCCTTTAATAATCAAATATCATTCCGTTTCCACATTCACACCGTCTCCGAACTGCTCTATTCTGTTTACGCCGTCGTCGTCGTCGTCTTCGAGGTCGTCGTCCTCGATCAGCCACCGGTCAAACGGCGCACATTCCGTCTTGTGCTGCAATTTCCAGTCCAGAGCTTGGCAACCTCGTGAGCAATAGTTTACATTACCACAAACCGAGCACCGCCGGAACTCATGAAGCCGAGTCTCTGGCCTTCCACAGCCACTATTCGAGCAGAGTCTCAAACCTTCAGCGATAAATCCACGGCCAGAAGTGAACCAATCTCTTAAAAATTGATTCGCCGGATGAACCTCCGGCGCCGGAATGTTGTAGCCGAAATCACTAAGAAGCGATCCGCTGGAATCCGTCGTGGTAGGGCGGTCGACGGAGCAGTTGAGACGGCGGAGAGAGGAGTTTGTTATCGACGCGAGCTCACGCGCGTTGGCTTCGATTAAGAGACGACGTCCCTCGGACGCGTTTTGAGCGACGCCGTAACCGTCTTGAAGACAGTGACCTAGTTCGCGAAGCGCATCGATATGACCGAGACAAGCGGCTCGTCCGCACAAAGCCACACCTGCACGAAGATTCTTGTCGCTCTTTGAACCACCGCTTCCATTAAACTGTACGATTGCGAGGGAGTAAAGCGCCAACGGATGAGATTTAATCGCGGCCTTCGCCATTAACGAAGCTCCATTTCCTCTGTTCTTCATACAATAAAATTCGACCTACAAAAAACGAAATCAGCAAACAAATCATAACCGAATCTGAAATTACAGACAGAAAAATCAATCAATTATACGGACCATTCCTAGAGTGTAGCACGCTTCAACATTACCGGCAGAAACGCACAATTTCAGGAATCGATGAGTCGATTCGCACCAGTTTTTAATTCGGATTTCAAATGCTTTAGGTCCAGCTTTCGATAGCACCATCGGATGCAGAGCCAATCGATTGAACCTCTTACATCTATGATTCGTCTCACGAACATCAAACGAAAATCACAACAGAAACAGAAATTAAAGAAACCACAAGTTACGCGATTCTTACGTCAACATAACATTGACGAGATCTGAAGGAGAAGAAGCGTTGGCGCTAAGTTTGCCGAGGAGGAGGACGAGTAAATCATCCGGCAAATCGTCGAAGAGATCATGAATCCCGGCGGCGGTGGTGGTCGAAGTTCTCCTCCTTTTGTTGCACACCATTCCAGAGTGTAATAGATTGGTCGTCGTTGTGGCCTTCACCTTGAAAATGGAACCGTCATGAAAGGACTGCAAACGATTGAGGTCCGTTAATGGAGGATTATAGGAAGCCAGATTTGGATCGTAGTTAGAGCATGAAGTGATCTCAAAATGAATCGGGTGCGTTAAATTTATATCTCTAGCGAACCAGCAACGGTGGGGAAGTGTCCAGACAGATTTAGATGGGTCCCACGGTTCGAGCCAGTCAGCTTCTAAATAAATACAAAATTTTAATTAATTAATTAATTAATCAGCTTAGTAAGACCGTAATCATTGTTTTGTATGTAAAGTTTGACCGAGTAAGAGTGTAAAACTCAACCTCATTTTTCAATTCCTAAATATTTATATAAAAATTACTTATTGTCTTTATTTTTTTTTATATTACATTATTAACCTCGGTTACAACCGTAAAATATTTTAAATATTAGTAAGGTAGGATTGGATTCGGTTAGATTGAGTTGTAAACTTTATTTTCGTATTGGCTGAGTTGACCTAACAAATAAAAGTTACAATTTTTTTTTTATTTTCTAAAAATTGAACTCACTGTGCACGAGATATTGTCCTCTTTGGCTTTCCCTCACGGCTTTAAAATGGTGTTTTGTTCTCCTCCCCAACCAATGTGGGACATCACAATCCACCTCTCTTTGAGGCCAGCGTTCTCGCTGACACTTATTCCCCAGCGTTCTTACTCGCACATCACCTCGTGTCTACCCCCCTTCGGGGAACAACGAGAAGGCTGACACATCATCAGGTATCTGCCTCTCATACCATTTGTAATAGCCCAAGCACATCGTAAGTAGATATTGTCCTCTTTGGGTTTTCCCTTACAGACTTCTCCTCAAGGCTTTAAAACGTGTCTGCTAGGTGGGCCAACCGAGTTAGTCAAATATTTAAAGCTCTCCCTACCTTGAATAGAATGAATATTGAGAAAGACTTTTCCAAATTCTCTCAAATTGATCGAGAATTTCATCATCTAGTACGTGGGCCAACCGAGTTAGTCAAGTAGCGCATCAAGGTAGATTCAATTCATTGGCAAATGAAAATCGATCATTTTAACCCGAGGAAAAAATGCGGCCGTACATGGAAATTTCGCGATATAATAATTAATAAAAATAAAATTCAAAACATAGTTCATAGATTTTTTATTTTTAAGGAAATATGGTTGATAGATTGGCTAACCAAAAGAGAGTGATTAAAGAAATGTCATGATACACGTGGCTTGACCGGCTAATTTTTCTATTTGTACAATTAAAGTAAAAAAAAAAAATATTATTTTTTAAATATTAGAATTAGTCCTATAATTTGGTAAAATTCAAGTAAATAGTATGTAACAAACCATAAATATAAAATCAAGATATGTTTTAAAATTGTGAGGCTAACGACAATATGTAACGAGCTAAAATAGACAATATCTATTAGTAGTGGGGCACGAGTTGTTATAGTGGTATTAGAGCCAGGTTCCAGGCGTTGTGCCAGTGAGGACGCTGGATTTCTAAGGGGAGTAGATTGTGAGATCCCACATAGGTTGGAGCTATTACAGTTGGTTCCGAGCGATGTGCCAACGAGGACGATGAGCCTCTACGGGGGTATATGGTGAGATCCCACATGGGTTGGAGCTATTACAGTGGTATTAGAGTTAGGTTTCGAACGGTGTGCCAATAAGGACGTTGGACCTCAAAAGAGTAGAAATTTAAAAATATATAGAAATTTTGTAAATTAGAGATATTTATGTAGGGACATTATAATATTATTATTTTATTCAACGAGTGAATTATTGGAATTTTAAAGCAATGGATAAGGCTCTTGAAAAAAAATATGTGGAAGTTGGTGGCTCATCCCATCCTCTTAATAATTTCCATACCCACAAAATAAATAAATAAATAAATAAAAGAGATATTTAAAGGAAAAAAAAGTATGGGAAATATTGTAAACCTTTATTTATTTATTATTTAATTTAAAATGATTATAATATCACTATTATATAATATTTAATGCTTGTAATAACGCCCGTGATCTGTGACTTGAAATATAGATATTTGAGTTTTATTAGATTATATATAGATGAACCGAGACCAATCTGAATGAGAGTAGTCGTAAGGATAGGATAGCTACGAAATGAAAGTTACTACTAATACCAACAAGAGGCACATTCATTTTCGGTGGATCAATCTGAAGAATTTCATAGTTAAACATGTTTTGCTTGGAACAATTATTCTCAGAGGACAAAACATGCTGGAATGATTCATGTTGGTCCGTGGGATAGTTTTCACTCTAATAAGTAAGGAGCGAGTAACGTGACCATGTCGCAGGAGAATACCGAGGTCATCTAGCTTTAGAATTTGGTAATTTGAAAAGAAGCAAGAATGGAAGACTGAATGTGAACATGGACAAAGGGTCGAGAATTATTACACGAAATTCGTTTGACCCATACGTTCCCCCTTCCTCCAAGCATCCCCTTGGCCATCTTATTAACATATTCTTAGAGGACGTTGAATTTGACCCATAATTTAATTTTAAATTCAAAAGGCTAAGTCTTTCTTGCCTTGTAATAAAATAAATCTAAATATCTATGTTGAAGTATTTTATGAACCACTAATGAACAAAATACATTCATACCATCGGAAACGGCCCACCGGATAGATATTATCTTCTCTAGACTTTTTTTTATGAGCTTTCCCTCGGGGCGTTATAATGGGTAAAGGTTTCAACACCCTTATAAATGATGTTTTGTTCTCTTCCCTAACCAACGTGGGATATCACAATCCACCCCCTTCAGGGCCAAGCGTCCTCGCTGGCAATCGTTGTTTTCTCCAATCGGTGTGGGACCTGTACTAAATCCACTCCCCTACAGGGCCCAGCATTCTTACTGGCACAACGCCTCGTGTCTACCCCTCCTTTGGGGAACAACCTCCTCATTGACATATTGTCCGGTGTCTGGTTCTGATACCATTTGTAATGGCCCAGGCCTACTGCTAACAGATATTGTCCTCTTTAGGCTTTCCCTTATGGGCTTCCTCTCAAGGTTTTAAAACGAGTTTGCTACAGAAAGGTTTCCACACCCTTATAAAGGGCGTTTCGTTCTCCTCCTCAACTAATGTGGGATATAAGAGGCAGTGCCTTAAATCACACTTGAGAGCAATATTTTAGAAAACGTGAGCTAGGAAATACATTGAAAATAATTTGAAAAAAAAAAACAATGTTATAAGCTAAAAACGAGTAGGCAACAACAATGACTTTGATAACATATAACCCGGGTAAGAAGAACTGACAACTAGTCATATCCCCCTATAATACATTTTAGGACATTTTAGCCTTGACGGATGTAGACATGATTTTGGTGAACAGTCATACGCCCTCGTATTAACACAACATGAAATAGTAAAAACCTATCTAAGACGAAACCAAGTAAAAAGGGTCTGAAACAGGCATGTGGTCATGGACAATACGTCCTGGACAGGCATAACCAAGACATCTGACATGTGGCCATAGACAACACGTTTTGGACAAATTTGACCGTGCCATCACTCGACCTCAACTCGGTTGACGAAATTTAAGCAAAGACGCTAAAATAAAATAATATTAGAGACTAAAGGCTCCCATAGACACAAAAAGGAAAACTAAATTATACGTTACAAACAACCAAAGATATAATGATCAAAGAGTGGAGGCTTCCATTATGGGTTGTGAACTTATAATTCAAAGTCCACGTCTTTAGCTTAGAGCCTTCATCTTGGATAATATTAAAGTTAGTCAAATTATTCAACCCCATATCATATTATCCATGGTCCAAACCTAGGTGCTATATTACATGGATTAAAATGGATTCAAAATCAAATATTAGTTATTAAAAAAATTAATGTAGTGTTTATATAATCTAATCGTTTATATATAAAAATTTAAAATAAAAAAATCCGATCAACCTAACTCAATCCGAATGGTTTGAGTTAGTTATGAACTTATTTGGATTAAACTGGATTAAAAGAAATAAATATTATTTTAGATTGAATTAACTTTAATTTTTAAAATAGATTTTGCATCTATTTATTCTATATTTATTTAATTTTATAATTATATTGTTTGGTTATTTATTTTTTTAATATAAGTCAATTCCAAGAAACGGTGAGGATTCATAGTCTTTTTGTCTGGGTACAAGTAGTCCGCATCTTTATAGACATGTTTATTTTATCGAGTCTTCCTCCGAGATAGTGTCCAGATCGGTACGCTTTTCGTGCGGGTTAGAACTTACCCGACAAGGACCATTATAGTTACGGGCGTCGTTCACTGGGGCTTCGGTCACTGTCTTTCTTGTCATCGGGTCACCAACTTCCTTGACGTTCTGACACTCAGCAGGCGTAAGCCCTTGTACGTGGTCTTAATTAAATGTTAGAAAATAAATAAATAGATATTTTACGAATGAAAATATTTTATTTTTATTAAAAATAAAAATTTGATAAACGTCCGGAACCATTCAAACTAACTAAGCTCAAAAACTTTGTGATTGGATTGGGTTAGATTCATTATTTAATTATTTAATAAAGTGGTTTGGATTGAATAATTACTCGAGGCAATGCCATTTTTGTAATAAATGTGTACATATGGGGTTATTTTTGTAAAATTGGAAGGATAAAAAACAATAAAAAGCCCACTAGACTAGTGCGGGTTGGATCTACAGAAGGCCCAATTACTTATTGGGCCTAAATTACAGCCCAAAAGTACCCAACTTTTGATCACTACTGGAAGTTGGAACAATTCTGAACAGGAAGCCGATCTGGGCAGCTCGCCGGAATCTTTGAACACATTACTTCGGATTGGCAGATTGTGGTAAAGAAAATCCATTGCCGAATCGGAATTAAGAGGATACCACCTAAATCTTAAGAGTTTGTTGACTTTTCGGACTTCGGATTTCTGTATAGAGACAGACAATTAGGAGATCCTTCAGAGAGAAAGCGAGAGGCAGCAGAAATGGAGGTGGAATTGAAAGAGATGCAGGACGATCTCGAATCCCTGAAGCAGTCGCTAACCGATGCGTCTCTTCGAGGTTCCGTTGATAAGGTATTTCTGCTTTTCAGTTCTGAATCAATTTCTTTTGATCCTGAACAATTATAC